CAGTCCTTGGGCGTCGCCGGTTGTTGTAGTTAAAAAGAAGGATGGCAAGATACACTTTTGTGTAGATTATCGTCGACTAAACAAAATAACACGAAAGGATGTTTATCCTGTGCCTCGAATCAATGACGCCCTCGACTCTTTACAAGGCGCAGAGTTCTTTTCCTCCCTTAATCTACGCTCTGGGTACCAGCAAGTGCCCATGAATCCGGATGATAGGCCAAAAACTGCCTTTGTTACACCAGACGGCTTATACGAATTGAACGCGATGCCATTCGACCTATGCAATGCGCCGGCAACATTTGAGCGCATGATGAACACTATCCTACGAGGCCTCAAATGGAACACATGTTTGTGCTACTTAGACGATGTAATGGTATTCTCGCCCGATTTTTCCACGCACCTTCGTCGCTTGGAACAGGTTCTACGCAGCCTCTCTGCAGCAAGCCTCCAACTAAACTTGAAGAAGTGTCACTTTGGAGCACGCAAGCTGACCATTTTCGGACACGTGTCGAAGGATGGCGTTCTTCCTGACCCCGCTAAGCTACGTGCTGTTCACGAGTTCCCGAGGCCCGCGTCTATCAAGGAACTGCGTAGTTTCATTGGGCTTTGCTCATACTTCCGCCGCTTCGTCTGGGATTTTGCCTCGATCATGGCACCTCTGCCAGACCTACTTCAGGGAGACCGCAATCTATCTGCGTGGTCTCCAGCCTGCGACAGTGCCTTTGCAAAGCTTTGTGAAGTGCTTACAACACCACCCATACTGCATCATTTCGATTCAAGCGCTCCCACAGAAATCCATACGGATGCTAGCGGTGTCGGTCTTGGCGCTGTACTCGCCCAACGAAAGCCTGGTAACCAAGAATATGTTGTTGCGTACGCGAGCCATACTCTTACAAGAACAGAAGCAAATTATTCGGTAACTGAGAAAGAATGCCTAGCGATTATCGGGGCCATTACAAAATTTCGGCTTTATCTGTACGGCCGCCCTTTCGATGTTACTGACCACCACGCGCTCTGCTGGTTATCCTTTCTCAAAGATCTTATGGACGCTTGGCACGATGAGCTTTACGGCTCGAAGAGTACGACATCCGGGTCATTTATTGCTCAGGCCAGAAGCACGCCAATGCCGATGCTCTTTCGCGTTCACCTGTTTCTCCTGATATTGCGAGTGTCTTCATCCAAGACAACTTCCTTCCACTATCAGGACCCATCGACATCGCTGCGGAGCAGCGCAAAGATACGTGGATTTCGTCTCTGATGGATTACCTATCTAAAACACTCGCCCACCTGCCATCTCGAGCGCTACACCGACAAGCCTCTCACTTCGCCATCCGTGATGGAATACTTTATCGCCGCAACTACCACCCTGATGGCCGCAAATGGCTACTCGTCATACCCAGACATTTCCGTGCCAGCATATGTGCTGCTTTCCATGTCAATCCGCAGTGTGCACACGCCGGTTTGTTTAAAACCTACGCCAGGCTACGTTTTTTGTTTTATTGGCGTGGCATGTACACATTCGTTCAAAAGTACATTTGATCTTGCACAGAGTGCCAACGCCGCAAGCACGATCCTAGCTGTCCTACTGCAGCAATGCAGCCGTTACCGTGCCCAGTGCGACCATTCGAGCGGGTTGGAATAGACCTTTATGGTCCTCTGCCATATACATCAGCTGGGAATCGCTGGATTATTGTAGCGATCGACCATCTCACGAGATATGCAGAAATGGCCGCTCTACCAGCCGTGATGGCACATGACGCGTCTTTCCTGCTGCAACGTTTTGTTCTGCGTCATGGCACTCCATGTGAACTTTTGAGCGACCGAGGCCGCGTCTTTCTCGGGAATGTTATTTAAGAACTTCTTGCTGAATGCTATGTGATTCACCGCTGTACTACTGCATATCGCCCACAAAACAAATGGCTTGACCCAACCTTTCAACCCCACTCTTGGCGACATGCTTTCTATGTATGTCTCCTCCGACCACACCAACTGGGATCTCATCCTTCTCTAAGTAACGTACGCTTACAACACGGCACCTCAAACGACGACAGGCTTTTCTCCCTTCTTTTTACTTTATGGTCGACAACCATCATCTCTAATCGACACCATTCTCTCCTACCGACCCGACGCATGTGAAGGCACACCAGTTTCCAAAGCCGCTCGGTATGCGGAAGAATGTCAGCAATTAGCTCGCACCCTTACAATACAAGAACAAAGGCTACAGAAATTTCGTCGTGACAATGGACGGTCCGACTACCAGTTTTCAACCAACTCTCTTGTTCGGCTGTGGGTGCCCCCCAGTGCTGCTCCTGGTACCTCTACAAAGTTCGTCAGCAGGTACCATGGACCTTATCGCGTCATAGAGCAAACTTCCACTGTCAACTACCTCATTGAATCCCTCACGGCCACTGCAGACCTGTGTCACCGAGGCCGCGAAATCGTACGTGTGGATCGTTTCATACCGTATCACGAACCACTTGTGCTCACGACACCTTAGAAGACCTACTTGGCTCCGTCTTCAGCGAGGGGGAAATATGTAATGAAGTAGTGGGTCATGCAAAGCTCGGCAAACACATCGTCAGTGCTAAGCACGAGACGAGCAAAGGCCGATGTCGCTGATTTCGCTGGCTAGGCCTACGCTCTTCCTGGTCTCGAATAACAGTTCTGACTGCCTCAGTTCTTTATTATATAACGAATATTTTGTATTTGAGTGTGCTTCGATTTGAATTTAAATTGTTGAAAATTGTGACGTATTCAAAAAGAACAAATAAATGTATATTTGTCCGCACGTAACCCCCTGTGAAGGTGGTTTTGCTGTAGAGGAGTACTCAGCTGTGAAAACACATATTTAGAGAAAGTCTGCAATGCTGCAGAGCTTCACTCAAGGTTGAGTGAACGTATTACGCTCATTGCAAGACTGAGTGCGTGGAAAACAGAGCCAAGAGAACTCACAAAAGAGGCATTGAGTGAAAACAAAAGTTCAATAAAAAGAAAATCTACTTATAGTGGGCAAAAACGTCAGAACTAAACAGCCGATGTGTCCTTGCGTGAACTTTTTTCCACAAAACAAAAAAAGTAACAGCTTTGCCGCAAAGGCCAAGCAATGAATGTGATAGAAACAAATTGGAAGGTCATGCGCAGAATGGCAAGCAGATCAAAACGTGCCCGGCGTTTCTTACGCACGAATAATGCACGAAACGTACTCACAGGTACAGATGAATTCGAATAGCATCTCAGTTGTTACTTCACTGTGTCTAAAAAGCACACCCTTTTAGCAAACAGAGACTGTGCAACGATTGCAATGACCTTTGTACACCCGGTAACTACAACAAAATCGTTCAGGTGAAAGTCCAAAGCCAGCCAAGACGTATGATCCTCCCCACCGCGATATAAGGGCATGCGAGGGAGCGTCCACCTTCCTCCTCTATGCGGTGCAAAGTACGCGTGAGAGATCAGAGCACGTGCCACCGCGTCAGCACTCATTGCGTTATCTTGCTGGTAATGCTAAAAACACAATATCCCCTCCCACCGAGTTGCCCGGCACCAGCGGTAAGTGGTACATATAAATAGCTTGCTGTTTCAGTGTTGAAGGACGAGCTCCTCGGTGGCTCAGTGGTTAACGCGTCGCGCTTGGGTCTCGCGTTCGATTCCGCACTGGAGTCTTTTTCTGCATTGTTTTTTTCTTGCGATATCATATATATATATATATATATATATATATATATATATGGTGAGTGACGTTGACGCCGGCGGCAAAATCTAGCCGAGAGTGTCCATATAATTGCTATCATAATACAAGATTTTGAGACTCATGACAAACCCAAATAACTGCAGCGACCATCACCAACAAGTCAGAAAGTTACATAAGTCTATACCTGCTCGCTCAGTACACCGCTTCACTTTAGTATATTACCCTCACATCAATTCATCATTTCTGAAGTTTAAAAGCTTGTTATACCGGCTTATATGCTCTAGGTATAATAAATTTTAAAACGTAACATACTTTACAGGTTATCGCTTGCATTCCACCAAAAGTCAGATGCTGCTACTATTAAAAGTTGTTTCCACTTGCTTTCATGAAACAGAATGGAATTTGCTCAGGCCTTGTTTCAATATTTAGTAGAACATATTGCGCAAGTTAGCTGGGTCGTGACACATATGCCCTTTTTTTATATAATATGTAGTATATACTATTTGATTAGCTTGGAACCTAAAATTCACTATTAGTACAAGCCTAAAAAGAACACCCATGTACTTAGATTTTGGTGCACATTAAACCAGGTGGTTTAAATTGACCCGGAGTCCCCTTCTACATGGTGCCTCGTATTGGTAGATGGTCTTGGTATGTGAAACCCAAGAAATTGTTAATTCTTACATGATGGTAAACAATGCAGCATTTATTATTTTTTAAGTGCTAGGATTGGAGGTCTTGTACATTTTTTTGTGAAATAAACTTTAGTAAGTTAGAGTTGGTTGCACATTGTTCGCTTGTGGTATCAGACTAAAAATTATGTCCACATTAATTTTGTGGACATGTTAGAACTGAGTGTCTTTTCAAAAAAAAGAGAACGGCAGACTGTTTGGATAGTTGTTTTGTTCCTTTTGATCTGCCTTGTAGGATAATGAGATCAATATTCTCCTTCCCGTTCAGGTTGAAATAAATTCTAATTCAATTCAATGGTATTTAGTTTGGAATTCAATAGTAAAAGCCTACTTTCACTTTGCAAAACCTTCTCAAATGTTGAGCTGATTCTGCTGTGTCGCAGCTGAGAAACATACATGTGATTCCTCTGTGCTGCAATTCATGGAAACCTGGTATAAGTTTTGTTTCCACCCTTTCTTGTGCTGTCACAGTAGCCGAAAGCCTCGAAAAAAAGGCTGTATTTAAGTAATAAGACTTCGTAAGTCATCCTTTTTTTTTTAATTCTTCTCTAGTCTGTGTTTGCATTCTTCTATGTCTGCTTTTCACAGTATGGCCTTATTTCCCATACCGGCCACAGGTGCGAGTGGAAGCGACTCAGGAACAAGTACCTCGCTTTGCAGAAGGCCACAATGACAGAAATCAAGCGCTCGTTGCTGCTTCCATCATCGGGGTACACACCCATTCCATCCCCGTGCTACACGCTCTCGTCCCCTGTGGAAACATCATTGACTGCAGACTCCGACATCACTCCAGCATCTCGGGAAGGTGAGGCTTGGGAAATGTCCTCTGATGACAGAGGGAACAAGGAGCCATCAAGCTCAGGTACGGAGCCATCAAGCTCAGGTGCGGAGCCATCAAGCTCAGGTATGGAGCCATCAAGCACAGGCACGGGGCCATCAAGCACTTCAGAAACAACACAAGCCTCACAGATGCTGGAGTTTCAGCCTGGAGTCATTGTCAAGCTGGTCACTGAAAAGCCAGTCTCCAACACTGCTGAGTTTAAAGTGGGTGTCTGTTCTCTTTCTTTCTTTTCATATCTTAATTTTTTTAACAGGGAACATTACTTGTGAGCTAGAGATGGGCATATTGTCTTTTCTTATCACATTTTTGTCCATGCATGGCACTGTGTAATTAGGTAGTGGCGTGAGCAAAAGTGTGCCGACCACCGTATCACATGCAGAATGCATCGACATGCCATCTACCTATACAACCCCTGCTGTCTAATGTTGCTTCGTCTCGTGTGTTTATGATGTTCATAGGCAAAATGTCAACCAGGTGTTGCTTTCTTTTCTTCATGTCATCTGTGTTGTTTTACGTAGCAGCTGTGGTAAGCCCAGCCAGTGAGCCCTGCTCCATCGCTTGGCGTGCATTGGTTTTTAAATCAATTAATTAGCCAAATTAACATAACCAGCATTCAGGGTGTCCAACAACCTGGAAAACCTGGAAAAGTCAGAGAATTTGGACATGTCTGGAAAAGTCATAGTGAAGTCATGGAGTTTTTGAAAAACCTGGCAAGGTTATGGAAATTGATGGCGGTCTGTGCGACCATCACAAAAGTAATCATTCATTGTCATCATCATCATCAACCTGATAACGCCCACTGCAGAACAAAGGCCTCTCCAGGGGTGCAACAGCTGCACCAATTGCGCCAATTTGATACACTTCCCTATTGTTGCGCTGAGCTGCACCAAAGCCATTTTGCTGAAATTGTGCCAGGCTGTGCCAAAATCCCTGACCAGCCTCAAAATTATCTTAGGTGTGCTAATTTCAGCAAGAAATGGATGCCACATTGGCCACCTGCACTTTGCTTCATTAATCAAACCAGGCATGCAGACCAGTTTGCTGACTAGGAAATTCACATTTCCTAGTCTGCAAACGCGGTTATGGCATCTTATGAACGCATGCCGTGTTTTCCACCTATGAACAAAGTCGACAGGCTGTGAATGCCATCGTTGGCAGCCACCACGTTGGTTGCCATAGCAACAGCACATAATACATTTTTTAGGCTGGAAGTTCCATTGTTGCGGCGATAGATAACCGACGCCGGTGCCGTGCCAACAAGCGTGCGCTGTTGTTACTTTATCTGGTCGAATGCGCCTTGCAAGCGAGCCGAGAAATTGTGCCCTAAATCTAGCCATACCGTGAAAGAAAAACAAAAAAATGTGGGGGCCGGGGTGAAGGTGGGGGTGTAGCGGTTCGAAAATTTCTTTGCCTTGTTCTATCCCCCTTCGCCACAGCACACTGGTGTCTCGCGAAAAAGTGTATTAAAATTTGGAAGGGGCTGTTAGCATTAGTCACGGGACACAGCACATTCTCTTCAATCAGTCGTGCGTGTATGTGCCGCATAACTGGGAGTACTAGTATGATTACTGACATCTAAATTGTTGCTGGCAATCATTTGGAGGAGCAAATGACATTTCTGCTGCCCTAAAAAAAATAGAAACACCTGTGCACAACTTTTTTTTTTCGCCACCCCTATTGCTCGGTTTAGCAAATCTCTCGAATTTCAAAGTCGCTACGCTTGGCAGATCAACATTTGATTTTGCAGAGTCTGTCAAAGGATTGGAAAAGCACAGGAAATGGTAATGTGGGCTTCATTGTTTGCTCAGTGGGCGAGTTCAGAATAGTACTTCAATTGGAATAGTAGTGCTCATGTTCACTCTGTACAATTAAGGTGAGTTGAACGTTTTGTGTGTGTATATATGTGTGTGTGTGTGTGTGTGTATATATGTGTGTATATATATATATATATATATATATTATATATATATATATATATATATATATATGAAGGTATGGGATATGGCACAACAGGAGTGTTGTCAACAAGGATAAATATATTTATTTCCCAACAGTTTCGGGAGGGGTCCTCCCTTCATCAGGGGATATATATATATATATATATATATATATATATATTTTTTTTTTTTTTTAATGTGAGCTTTCTCTTTTATACTGCTCCAAAGTTGGTCTTTCATGATAAAAAATTTTGTTTTTTTTCTCCCATAACCTGATCCGAATTTACATTTGAGTGCTCCAAAAGTAACATTTTTTTTGCTCCAGAAATTGCTCCAAATTCTATTTTGGCTGTTACACCCCAGCCTCTCCCATAATCTACCAATCAACCCGGTCTTGTGCTTTCTGCTGCCACGTTATACCTGCGAACTTTTCAATCATTTTGGCCCGCCTAACTTTCTGTTTTTCCGGAGCCCTCCACTACGGCGTCTCTCATAATCATATAGTGGTTTTGGGATGTTAAACCGCACATATCAATCAATCTAACTTTCTGTCTCCCCTTCATGCGTTTGCCTTCTCTGGGAATCCAGTCAGTTACCCTTGATGACCAGCGGTTATCCTTCCTACATGCTGCGTGCCCGACCCTTGTCCATTTTTTCTTCTTGATTTCAAGTATGATATCCTTAACCCCAATTTGTTCCCTGACCCACTCTGCTCTCTTCTTGTCTCTTAAGGTTACTTCTATCATTTTTCTTTCTATCGCTCCCTGCCTCATCCTCAATTTAAGCTGAATCCTTTTTGTAAGCCTCCAAGTTTCTGCTCCGTAGGTAAGTACCGGCAAGATGCTGCTGTTATATACCTTCTTCTTGAGGGTTAGTGGCAGATTACCATTTATGATTTGAGAATGCTTGCCAAATGTGATCCACCCCATTCTCATCCTTCTAGTTATTTCACTCTCGTGATTCAGCTCCGCGGTTATCACCTCTCCTAAGTAGACTCGCCTACACTTGAAGAAGGAACGACAGAAACTGATACGCAAGAAGCCAATCAATCAGCTAGCACTGAGAGGGAAAGTACAGGAATTCAGAGTGTCACTGCAGAACAGGTACTCGACTCTCAGTGAGGAAACCAACCTTAGCGTAGATACAATGAATGATAATCTGACGAGTATCATTATGGAGTGTGCAGTGGAAGTTGGAGGCAGGGTAGTTAGACAGGACACTGGCAAGCTTTCACAGGAAACGAAGAACCTAATTAAGAAGCGTCCAATCATGAAAGTGTCAAGTACAACAGACAAAATAGAACTGGCAGAGCTTTCGAAGTTGATTAATAGACGTAAAGTATGCGATGTAAGAAGGTATAACATGGAGAGAATTGAACACGCTCTGAAAAACGGAGGAAGTGTCAAAGCATTGAAGAGGAAACTTGGGATAGGCAAAAGTCGGATGTATGCACTAAGGGACAAAGAAGGCAAAATAACTACCAATATGGATAGGATAGTTAAGATAGCGGAGGAGTTTTACAGGGATCTGTACAGTAGCCGAGACAACCACGACCTTAATACTATAAGAACTAGCAGTAACCCAGATTACACCCCACCAGTAATGATAGAAGAAGTCAGAAAAGCTTTGGAGAGCATGCAAAGGGGCAAAGCTGCTGGTGAGGATCAGGTAACATCAGATCTGCTGAAAGATGGAGGACAGATTGTGTTAGAAAAACTAGCCACCCTGTTTACGAGGTGTCTCCTGACGGGAAGAGTACCAGAGTCTTGGAAGAACGCTAACATCATCTTAATACATAAGAAAGGAGATGACAAGGACTTGAAGAATTACAGGCCAATCAGCTTGCTCTCTGTAGTATACAAGCTATTTACAAAGGTAATTGCTAACAGAGTAAAGAAAACATTAGAATTCAATCAACCAAAGGAACAAGCAGGATTTCGAACAGGCTACTCAACAATTGACCACATTCATACTATCAATCAGGTAATAGAGAAATGCTCGGAGTATAACCAACCACTATACATAGCCTTCATAGATTACGAGAAGGCGTTTGATTCAGTAGAAATATCAGCCGTCATGCAAACACTGCGGAATCAGGGCGTAGATGAAGTATATATAAACATTCTGGAAGAAATCTACAGGGGATCAACTGCTACCATAGTGCTTCATAGAGAAAGCAACAGAATACCAATCAAGAAGGGTGTAAGGCAGGGGGACACAATTTCTCCAATGCTGTTTACCGCGTGCTTACAGGAGGTTTTCAGAAGCCTAGAATGGGAACAGTTAGGGATAAGAGTCAATGGAGAATACCTTAGTAACCTGCGCTTCGCCGATGACATTGCATTGCTGAGTAACTCGGGGGACGAATTGCAACTCATGATTACGGAGTTAGACAAGGAGAGCAGAAAAGTGGGTCTTAAAATTAATCTGCAGAAAACGAAAGTAATGTACAACAACCTCGGCAAAGAGCAGCGCTTCGAGATAGGTAATAGTGCACTTGAAGTTGTAAAAGACTATGTCTACTTAGGGCAGGTAATAACCGCAGAGCCGAACCACGAGATTGAAGTAACTAGAAGAATAAGAATGGGGTGGAGCACATTCGGCAAGCACTCTCAAATTATGACAGGTAGATTGCCACTATCCCTCAAGAGGAAGGTATATAACAGCTGTATCTTGCCGGTACTTAGCTATGGAGCAGAAACCTGGAGACTTACAAAGAGGGTTCAGCTTAAATTGAGGACGACGCAGCGAGCAATGGAAAGAAAAATGGTAGGTGTAACCTTAAGAGACAAGAAGAGAGCAGAGTGGATTAGGGAACAAACGGGGGTTAAGGATATCATAGCTGAAATCAAGAAGAAGAAATGGACATGGGCAGGGCATGTAGCGCGTAGACAGGATAACCGCTGGTCATTAAGGGTAACTGACTGGATTCCCAGAGAAGGGAAGCGGGTTAGAAAGAGACAGAAGGTGAGGTGGGCAGATGAGATTAAGAAGTTTGCGGGTATAAATTGGAAGCAGCTAGCACAGGACCGGGTTAACTGGCGGAACATGGGAGAGGCCTTTGTCCTGCAGTGGACGTAGTCAGGCTGATGATGATGATGATGAAGTAGACATATTCCTTTACAACTTCCAGCGTCTTTCCTCCTATTGCAAAGGGCTGTTTTCTGCCGAAGCTGTTGCACATTACTTTAGTTTTGTGCATATTAATTTTCAGACCTACTTTTCTGCTTTCCGTGTCTGGTTCAGTAATCATGAATTGTAATTCGTCCCCTAAATTACTCATCAAAGCAATGTCATCAACAAACGCAGATTACTGAGATACCCTCCATTGATTCTTATCTCTGACTCTTCCCAGTCTAGGGTCCTGAAAACCTCGTGTAAACGCATGGTTAATAGCATTGGAAAGATCGTGTCTCCGTGCCTTACACCCTTCTTTGTTAGGATTCTGTTGCTTTCTTTATGGAAAACTGTGTTGACTATGGATCCACTGTAGGTTTCTTCCAGTATGTTTACCTAGGGTTCGTCGATGCCCCGATTCCGAAGTGCCTGTATTAATGCTGTTGTCATGACTGACTCAAACTCTTTCTAGCAATCTATGAAAGCTATGTATAGGGGTTGAATTTTATTCCGCGCATTTTTCTATTAGCTCATTGATATTATGAATATGGTTTATCGGGTAGAGTAGCCTGTATGAAATCCTGCTTGGTTTTTTTGGTTGATTGACCTCTAATGTTGCCTTAATTCTATTAGCTATTATTTTTGTAAATTATTTGTAGAAAACAGACAGTAAGCTGATCGGCCTGTAATTTTTCAAGTGCATTACATTTCCTTTCTTATGGATTAAAATGGTGTTGGCGTTCTTCCAAGATTCTGGTACCCTTCCCGTCAAGGGACTCTTCGTATACTAGGTGGCCAGTTTTTTTAACACAATCTCTCCACCATCTTACAGCAGGTCTGTTGTTACCTCATTCTTACCAAAGGCTTTGCCTCTTTGCATTCCTTCAGCGGCTTTTCTTACTTCATCTGTCGTTACTGGTAGGGGAAGTAAGAAAATTCGTTACGTAGAAGTTATTATTTTTCAAGCGCATAGAGCGTACAAAGGCTCAACTTCGCATCCGACACATTGCGACCTCGACAGCATCTTGAAGTCTTCAGCGAGATTCTCGGCCACGTCTCACGCACTTAGTAAGGATGAACGAGCAATAATAATGTTGACAATTTTAGTGTTGTCATCGTAGTGTCTACATGTGGTATTATCTAGCGAAGACGTCTCACCTGGCAACGGCTACACTTGTATTGTTTCGCGTGGTTCGGGCAGCGCGTTCATTTGGATTCTGTGCTTTCATTGTGCCATTTCAGGCAATTTGCTGTGGAGTCGTGAGTACGTTTGATGCTACAATCGTTACGAACAACACGCACACAGCGTCCTTATATGTAATTGTAATACGTCTTACCAGTCAGTGTAGCCCAAGCATGCGTTTCCAGCTGCCTTCTCGTCACTGCTCAGTCCAGCGTCAGTTTCAAAATCACTGCTCTGAAGAGGATTGAAGCGATAATGGAATCGCAGAGATTCCATATTCCTCAGTGTTTTTATCGTCACTTGTGGACGCTGATGACAGCGCGATGATAAAGTGGGTGGCAAAGACATGTCTACACATGTGTGCCTAGAAGACAAAAAGCCAGCTGAACCCGCATCACCATTTTTAGTGGCCACGTGATCAGATGGGGCGTGACCGCAGGAGGTGACCACTTAGCGCTGAAAGTTGGCAAGCATTGAACCTTTTTCGAATATGGTTCGGTACTGGTTATACTAATCAATATTACATATATTAATTCGTTCTGCTATTGCATGATCAGTACCTAATCATTACATGAAGATTGAACTACATAGTGACACGATAAATGCAACATGCATAAAGTTGATGTTACTACTCCTTTAAAAGAGGCCTTAAGAATTGCTGTAAGCCTAAAAAGGGAATGTTTTCTTCTATACAGGGGTATAAGAGCTGCTACCATTGAGGTGAGAAGTGCGAGGCACTCATGTGTGCTACTAGCTCAATGAAACTTTGCTTCTTTATGATGAGAAAATTTGTATCGAAGGTGAACAACATTACATTTCACGTAGTACTAGTGGTTTGCAAGCTTAAAATACGGTGTATGTAAAATTTTAAGATGTCTCTTAAAAGAGAGAGGGTGAAATGTTCACAACTTGAGACTTTGTCCACTGCTTTTTTTTTGTAGATAGCATTATTGCTACTGTGTGTGAGAATAATTTTTCACCAGGCTGAGTACCATTAGCTGTTTTCTCAAATCAAAATGGTATCGAAATGGTGTTTCATGCTGTGGTATGCTGAAGAGAATGCCTGAGAGTTTCTTGAAGGTGCACACACAGGCATTTACAGGGCGTAAAATACCAAAGAACACTGGTGAATTGCCTTGAATAAGGAAGAAGCCTTGTTAGTTTTTTTAAGTTCTGAAGGTATTGTCTTAACATACTTGAAGATAGTGCCTCTATAAGCACATTCATGGCGAAATTCATGTAAGGTAAATTTTTCCCACTGTACACGCTTTCCTCTTCTCCTTCGTGCATGTCGTACTTCAGGTTAATGTAATACCTTAGTGCAAATATCGGCACATGACAGACTACTTTGCTGCTGTACATTTTTCTTGTATAGTGAAATAGTAGCAATAAGACTGTTCACACTGTAATCTGCATAAAATTCCTGGAAAATTGCATTCACATAAAAGTTTCCTTGTATCTTTGAAACAGTCAGAATGCAGTTAAAAGTTTCAAACACTGGTTTTCATGTTATCGTGGTGTAGCTTTTTTCCATGCACTTTTATTATGTAAATTGCTCAGGCAGTTCCAGAAGCACCAACATGAAGTCATTCAATATGACTAATGACAGCGTTTACCAGCAGCTAATTCTTTCCATAAAACCTCAGTGTGCTGCTGAATTCGAAGTCGAAAAGTAAAGCAAGAGGAAAACAAAAGGTTTTCTTTCGCACATTTAGTGTGTATATAATTGCTAAAGGGCACACCCAGACTGTAGAGATGTCTTTTCATCCATTGCCAGGGAATCGGACAGCAGGAAGGAGAGCTTATCACACTTATTGGAAATGTTGCTAACGCGTAACTTTAGTGACTATATAGCATTGCACTACGAAGCACAAGAAATTCCTTTGCTATTTTGTTCCTCAGAATCATAATCTGGTTTTGGCTTTTCAGGCCCTAGTGTAAAATTTTTTTTAGTACTGTAGGATTTAAGTCATTCTCGTTCAGCCATGCTGCCCATGTGTACAAACGGGAGGAAAGGAAGTGTTGGATGTCGCAGCATTTGAAGTGCATAGGGCAAAGCAGTGACACGTTGCCTATATAAGGAAAGACACCTGTCTTGTCATTCTTGTCACTTCTACGTAAAGAAACGTCTGGTTACTTCCTCAAAAACAGCCACAGATGCTGCCTCTCTCAGAGAGAACTTATATATTCTTAGATCCTCTTAGGAAGGCCCTTTAAAAGCATGTTCATTGTTGAGCTTCCAAGAAGCTATCTGGAATAAAAGGGGTTGGGCCCTTACACCAGTAATGCACAAGCCTATACAAGCTTATCAACACTTGTTCAGTGTAGTTACTTGTACAGGCCTTTGAATGGGCACAGTTCTCAACAACACATGTATCTCTTGTTGTTAGGACCTTGCGTCTGCACTGCTTTCTGCCCTGTTTCTTTGTTGTCTCCCACAGAAACTGTGTACCAATAATATGCAGTACATGCTTTCATGTTTTTTTTTTTTTTAGAAGAACTAATATATACACTTGAATGTGCAACAGAAGCACTGTATACTGTGTGGAATGCAGTTGGTTGTGTTTGTGTGCAGAACAACATCCGGCAGCTAGCCAATGTGGCATACGTGGATGTTATGGAAGGCGACAATGTCGCATATGTGCGTTGTGCTGATCCGGAAGGAGCCTGCCAGTTCATCGAGAACCAGAAGGAGTCATTCTGTGGTGCCCTCTTCTTGCTTACTGGTGCGGTATATTAAGTGCTTTGGTCATGTTTCTAATTGCTGCCATTTGCTGGATCCTGCAAAATGACTTATCGGATCAACCATTGAAGGCATTCTACTCTTGCTATGTCTAGCCAATTGGTTTATCTTTCTTAACATGGTGCATCATGAATGACATACTTGCCCCACCTGTGGCTTTGTTGCATATATATCATGTACAGTATAACTTATCCTGAGAATTGCTTTTGTGGAACTATTGCCAACATAGTAAGGCTAAAATATTTGGTAGCTACCATCACACTTCTCCTTCCTTGCCTTTCATTTTTCTTTTTCTGGTTGTGAATGAACCATTTTGAATAGTACCTTGATAGGTCTTGATTCTTTAGCTAGTTGGTTACAGTTTGTATTTTGTCTGTGAAGAATAATGGTATTCAAATGAAACCTTTTGTGGGTTTAAGGGAAAGGGATTGCTTATAGCTAAGGATGTAATGACAGCTTCATTTGCTTACAGGAGATGAGGAGAAGTCTTACTGGGAAAAGATAAACCTCGACCGGGAGACACGTCGCAGCCAAAAGACCAGGCAGAAAAAACGAGGTGTCGAGAAGGTGAGCTTGCGGATAACCTGCTAAAATTGAGCTGTCACAAGTCTGTCATAGCTCATCGTCAAAGATGCACCCTTCAAACGCTCCACACATGATGTGATGTCAGAAGCAAGAATGAGTGCGGCAGCATAGCATCATATACGTTGTGTATCAGATCAGGTATACTTTTTCTTTTCTGAAAAAGTGCAATGATATTAATGCAGTGATGCTACTGCTGCGCCAATCGCGCCAAACTGTGCCGAATCGCCCTGGCTGCTACATGCTGCTACATTTCCTCAAAATTTGACTAGTGTGCGCCCAACCTGCGCCAAAGGGTGTGCTCCGTCTTTCAGAAACGAAACTACTTGAGGTTCTCCTGTTGAAAATGACATCGGGGTGCACCTGCGTAAGACGCAACCCGAGTCAAGCCAAGCCAAACTGGGCCAATTGTCACTGTTGGGACCATGGATGGTTGAGGCGCAGTTACAGTGGCTAGAATATGGAAGTGTGATAAACACGCCGGCTAGTGCATAATGCCTTGGGAGGAAATTGCCAGGTGGTGCTGGCGCATATTTGCACGTCACCCAAGGCGGCCATGCGCTGCGCAGAGACTGGAATCAACCACGCGCACCGGCAATGTGAAACATTTAAAATATATTTTGTTGCTCGTGCATGGCCTCAAATGGCGACTGAGCCAATATGGTAATTAGCATCTGGAATTACAGGATGCCTATGCGGGTGCGTGACTGAACTGAAATATCAACAAGGTGCAAAAAGTAAGCGCGTGACGGCATGAAACATTTTATCGATGTGAATTGGTAGAAAAGTGGAACGATAAACTCAGTTGTGAGTCGTTGCTTGCTACACCTTTCATGGCGAACCATCATTTCCTCATGCTCTAATCTGTAAATAAAGCCCCATTATTCATAACATGCATAGCTTGCTATAGCTACTTCTGCTAATGCCATAGAGTTTTATACAATAATACCCATGGCTAACGCATAATCAAACTCAGAGACGAGAATCACGAGTGGTATGTGGAGAAAACATCTTATTTTCTGCACACGTGTCGTGTCGTACAACACATTTCCGAGTAGGGACTCACTGTCTGTTTGCATTCTTTATAATTGGTTGCGCGTCTTTTTTATCCACAAAAAAATGTTTCACAGTTCACAAGCACACCACAGACATTGTTTCCCTTGGCTAGGTGACGTGCCTGAGCGTCAGGTACTTCTTTTCACGAGAAGATGCTCGCTCCTTGTGGTGCACCTTTGTGTAAAAATGATAAAGGGTGAGCAGAAAAAACTTGGTCACTTGATTGGTGCGGCTTGGACCATGTTGTGCGCAGCCCAGTGTGACATTTTTTTTTTTTTTTTTTTTTTTTTTTCAAGCAGAAAACAAGTTTTTCCAAGCTGTCACTGTCAAGCTCGTTGTAGCTAAACCAGTTTGAAAAAGTGGTTTCATGGGTGTCTACAAATGCAAAGAGCTTCTCCGAAAGGCTTACCCATAGGCGTCCGCACAAGGAGGGCAGAAGGGGCAGGAGCCCCTTCTAGTCGCCCAGCTGGGAGGGGGGAGCTAAATTTGCTCTATACATTGAGTAGGCGGCGAGGCACTTATTTAGTCGCTTAAAGGGGGGAGCAAAATCTGCCTCATGGATAGGGAGGGGTCACTGCAATGAACTCGTCCCCCCCTCCCCGAACGGGAATCCTGTGCACGCCTATCCCTTTCAATGCCGACAGCGGACGATCTTGCCGTTCACAGTGTGCTCGAAGTGCTGTACCTCTCGTCGAAGTGCAGCTCGCACACAGCCAAGTTTTCTTGAAGCAGCTTGTCAACGCGCAGCATCTCTCTCCGCCAATGTAGGCTCCACTTGCCGCTCATCACACTTCCCTATTCTAGCCACTGTAACGCAGTGAATGCCCGATTTTTCAGACCTTCTAGGGACTGCGAAATTGTCCAAAAAAGATTCATGACTTTATTCTACTCACGTAATCATATCGCCACAGCCCTGTTTGAAATAGCTTCAATTCCTCCTACGCTGCTACATTTCCTCAAAATTTGGCGGGTCTGTGCCTAACATGTGCCAGAGAGTGTGCTCCAACTTTCAAAAACGAATATACGTGAGGTTCTCCCGTTGAAAATTACACCGTGATGCACCTTCGTAAGATACAACCTGAGTCAAGCCAAGCTGAATTGGGCCTAATGTCACTATGGATGGTTGGGAGGCAGTGAATGCCCGATTTTAGCATGATAGCGTTAAAGAGCTCGTGTCGCAGAAAACCTGCTGCCGGCGTCAGCCCCGTTAGTTGTGAGCGAAAAACCGTCTCTGCGTCTGTGACCGAAAAATCAAGTTACCGAGATAGCCGCAGGAGGTCGCTGCTTGTCCACGGGTGCACGCGGGATCACACTGAAAAAGCCCTGCATTCGAAAAAGAAAAGTGCTCAAGGTCACGAGGCGCAGTAGTTTCTTTGCCCTGCGCCCCTTCCTGCTTACCTTCCAGCACTTTCGTCGGGATGAGAGAAGAGATAATGCAATTTCAGCATGCCACAAACCTTTGTAACTCCACTCACACTTAATGGATTCTTAAAATGTTTCTGGCATTGAATTCGTGAGGCAATAAGCTCTTCTAGTAAATTCATTCCATGGTTATTTTGAAAAAGTGTTTCAGGGCTCCTTTAACGCATTTTGTTCGACAGGTGTCCTGACAAAAACGACCCCATTAGGCGATAATAGCGCGCGCTGGTTTGATCTACTGTGTGCGTGTTTGTGTGTGTGTGTGTGTATGTAACAAAACATATGAATTAGTATGCACTTAGCGGCTGAAGGGTGCACTAGAGGCCAGATTTCGCTATCACGTTCAATTTTTAAAGGCGAAACTTAAGGGTCCCCCAATTTCTTTTCAGACATTCTAGGTACTGGGAAATTGTCTGAAAAAAGATTCATGACTTTTTATTCTGCTCCAGTAATCAAATCGCCACAGCCCCGTCTGAAATAGCTTCAATTCCTCCTAGAGTACATTTATCAGGCATTTTGGTACACACTCAGGCTGTCGTAAATACATTCAGGGCCTGCCAACGTTCATTTGCGAATATGCATCGCGTTATGAGCGCCGCTGATACCATGAAAGTGCTGAATAAGTTGCGGATTTATTGCATGGAGTGTGTGGAAATGATGACGCGGAACATAAAGGATGTGGCAGAATAGAGGAATACTTTTCCAAACTTCTGTGATGCGTGTGTACACTTAAAAGATGCGCCCATGTACGAAAATGTCCGGCAAGCTACACGTAGCACTTGCTGCCACTAGAGACTGATCGTTCTTAGTTGTGTGCAGCACATTGCCTTCACAGCTGATGTTGCTTCTAATGGGGTGCTTTCGTACGCACTTGTTTGTCATGAAAAAGTGTTCCTAATGCCAACTCCGTTCCTCATTGCACACGAGCACAACGATGGTGAGCTGCTTTCGTTCATGAAGGCACCTTGTCTGTGCTGCGCAGTAGCAGATTCGCACAGAAAGCGTGAACGGCAGCATGTGAGTGAATAAAAGAGAGCAGTACGCCGACAACTGCGTTACATGCAGTATAACAAGGAGTTAGCTGAATATGCTTATCATAATGCGATTAAGTCTTACTGTGTTTGCCACATCGCCGCCATCACTCCACCGTAATACCCACCTCTTCGAATTTTTTTTTTATCTGCTCCACCCCATAGCACTTATGCACTGCGGCAAAGCTGATTTTCAGACATTGCTGTGATGTGAAACGACTCTTGAAAGTGCTCGTTTAAGCCTACTAGGTCGTAGACGTAACAACGGTAGGAACTTTTAAGTAATGCTGTTTCATACCTGGAATGTCAGCTGAAAGCTCAAAAAATCGGACATCAAAACGTTTCAGCTTCGACAATTTAAGGTGTTCTTATTTATCCATTGACGTCGGTAGGGCATAGTGAATTTGGGGCATTTGACCTTAATTTACTGCTGATTGACCTAACATGATACTTAGTAATCATTGCATCACACCTGTACTATGCACATTACATTGGAAACTAGGCCATGGGTAAACACATCCTGTGTCGCTTTGCTGCAGGCCACTTCTACTTCTAATTTAGGTTATTAGAGTGAATATGCCATATCCATAGTACTTTTTTTGCATAGCATGTGTTTGTACTTCCTTGTATGTTTGTACATAAAAAATTGGATGTGTACATCTGAATAACAATACAGAAAAATCAGATATAGGGTGCAGCATTTTGAGTTTAAGTTTTCTTAGAGTTGCTTTTTTTTTGTTATTCCACCCGAGCTCTTTCTGTCAATTTTCTTTCATGATCTTTCATTGACTTTTTTGGACAGCAGTTCATTCTCTACTGCTTACACACCAACTCTCCCCTTCCTTTTAATTGGAATTTGTGTATAGTTAAAAGCAGAGTGTCAAGGAAAAAATTACAGGGGTTCAGTTACACAAACAAAACTAAGGTTATGTGGCCAACAGCATTGTGATCATTGTTCACAGCCACATGCATGTTTCATGTGGTGATCTTACCCGAAATTAGGAGTAAAGATGCAGTGCAGTAATTGCTATGGGATTATTTGGAGCATAGCTCAGCAGGAAACACAGTGGTGTGATAGTTGCACCAAGAGGTGAAACCTAGTAGTACATGCTACTATGTTTTGGCATCATTATTTCCACCGAGCGTGTGCCAAGACATGATTTCTAAGGCTTTTTTGGAGAAAAATGATTTTAAGTTTACATGCAAAAGGTTTTTCACAGTGCTATATTACTTCTTTTTGTCTCTACAGTAGGGTACACGCAATGCATTAGTACAGTTTGAGACAGAAGTGCAGGTCAGGTGACCGAAGCGCGGTAGCCAATTGCCTCCGTGGCTAAAGAAATAGTCCTGCTCATGTTCTCAGCCGTGCTCTCTGGCAGTGCGGTCACCATCCGTTCCGCCCATGACAGCAGTTGTCACGAATTTTATCTCGGGAGCGCTTGCGAAAGATGGATTTGAAACATAGATGAGAAAGAGATG